TTTTATGTTTATTTTTTGTCTGTCCTGAGTTTCTGTATTTATGATTTGGAGTATTCTTTCATATATGCAAATGTTCTTATAGGAGTATTTAATTCATTTTGGGCTTCTATGTTATAATTTTTCTTGGATTTATGATTGGATTTCTTGGCGAATAGTCTCATCAACTAAAATATTTTCTTGTAATGGTTTTATATGGATATCACTTGTCATTTTGAAATGTCTTTCATTTTCCTCAATCACCAATTATAGGGATGTGGAACAGTCAGAATTCATACATTGTAGATGGGTGTGTAAATTGATAGTCACTTTGGAAAACTATTTGACTTTATCTAGTAAATTAAAAGATGCTCAGAGCCTTCAACCTAGCAAATCTACTTGTATATACATACATATATCCTAGAGCAATGCATGGACACATATATCAGGAGACACATACATGGTTTATAGCAACCATGTTTTCAATACCCCAAAATAGGAAGCTATCCAAATGTCTATTAATAGGAGATTGGATAAATAAATTCATATAGTAGAATACTGTGCTCTGATGCAAATCAAATAAACTATGACCAGAATAATAAACATGGATGAATATCAGGAGTATGACGTTGAGTAAGAAAGTTGCAAAAGAATAGAACTAGTCCATTCTATTTATATAAAGCTCACAATCATACAAAACCAAGCAATACAAATGTGGTAAACTATAAGAAAAAGGAATTGTTACAAAATTCAGTAAAGCAATTACCTTTGTGGGTGAGGTGGAGATAGATGATTGGATCAGGGAGTAACACAAAGGGGAATAAAGGTACTGATAACATGCATTTCTTAACCTTTGGTGATATTGTTATTCATGTCTTATGAGTGTGTTGTAAATGTTTTTGTATGTATTTAACATTCAGTAATGTTTTTATGTGAATGATGGTACAAAAAAATAGATCAGACTTTCAGAAGCTTATCTTTGGTGATGTGTTGTATAATCTGGAGGTTGAGAGTATTTACAGTATAGAATGGTAATCAAGGAAGACATAGGAGCCAGAAAATAGGAGGCGGTGCCTACAAAATCTTTCTGAATTTTCCAATGTAGCTTCACATATTATATTTTGTTGACGTATTATAAGTTCCACAACCATGGGGAAAATTCATACTCATATATAAGTGAAATGTTATTAAAGTTAAATGTAATTATTTTGGATTATTTATTTTAAAAATTTCCATAGCTATTTCCCTTACAATGGTTTAGGTGATAAATGATAGATAAAATAACGCCAAATCTGAATTTTCCCTCCAACTATGCATCTGTGCATCTGGCCCATTCTATGTAATCTGACAAGGAACAGAGTTCACTAAATTAAAATCCTCACATCTACCTTATCCAATGCCTTGAGGCAAGTCCATATCCAGCTGATGTGCATGAATGTGATCCTAAGTTGGAAGGCTCAGGAAGTAAAGATACTTGGATTTGATTTAGGGGGAAAAAAAAGATGTTGTCTAACTGATGTATGCTTGTAGCTCTTTTCTGATTGCACCTGTAACATATGAATAATTTCACCAATCCTATGAGTCTCATGAGTCTGCTGTATTTTCTACTAATGTGGCTTAAATAGTCTCTCAACAGAGCTTTCATTCTCATCCTTTTCTTATTTCTTTCACTAGACTTTTATTGATCATCTACTACATAGTGTTTCATTGATCATCCATTACATATTATCCCTACTACATATGCTAGGCTTATGAATATAGTGTAAGAGTAGATAGACACATATATACACTTAGTTGTAAATTACATAAACAAAACTACCTGAGATCACAGAAAATGAACAATTAATTATTTTGGGGGAAAAGGTGAAGGACCTCATAGAAAAAGAAAATTTGAGTTAATCTTAAAAAGCAGGATTTAATCAAAGGACTCTAAATATATATATTTATTGAATAAATGAATATAGAAGTGCAGAGGATATAAAGATTTCTTACTGTACCACAAACTCTGAGGAAGAACTTCACAGCTTTCTAAGTGTAGTCCCAAGTATATTCAGTTTGCTTAGATATATGGTACATATATTGCCTGAAAAAAAAGTTGGAATAGGTGTTGTGAAAAGAATATAGAAAATCTTAAATTACTACTTCTCCAGAAAATCCAGGATGTATGTTTGTATCATCAATATTGTACATTGTTTATGGAAGTAAAAAATGATCTTCTCATCTGTCCATATCTGTCAACTGATGACTGCTAACAGGGTTAGATACAAATATTGACAATTGAAAATCAGCCATGTTATAGGGTGAATAACCCTAAAAGAATTCTACTTTTGAATATTCTTATTGTATGCAATAAACATTGGTATCTTATTAGTAAAAGCAAATTTCACACATGCATTTATTTTAACATGGAAAATATAAGGTAAGGAAGACCAATAAAGCAGAAGATGTTTATTCTAGTATTTTCTTGCCAGTGAACACACAGGAAATGTTGGAAAAAATGAAAATATGAAATCCATGATTTTTTTTTTTACATAAAAATGTATGCTCTGAAAAAAATCAGTTACTGTTAAAACCATTGGATTTCCCTAGGTAACCATGGTCATAACTCTTAACTCTCTTAACCCCAATTCCACCTATCATCTAATGGTAATAATATTCATTTCACTTGATTTGAGAGGGATTAATTGAAATGATATGTATAAAAGACCATGTATTCTGCCATTGGAAAAGATGAAATAGTGCTATTTGCGACAACATGGATGGATCTTGAGATTATTATGCTAAGCAAAGTAAGTCAGACAGAAAAATTTGAGAACCATATAGTTTCACTGATATGTGGGATATAAAACTGAAAACAACAAAGGAACAAGACAAACAAATGAAGAAAGAAAACTCATAGACACAGACAATAGTTTAGTGGTTACCAGAGGGTAAGGGGGAAGGGGAGTGGTGGATGAGGGTAAATGGGATCAAATACATGGTGATGGAAGGAGAACTGACTCTGGGTGGTGAACACACAATGTGATATATAGATGATGTATTACAGAATTGTACACCT